GTAATTTCGAGGGGATAACGAACACCGTCGCCGTATGGGTTTGTTAATTATTTATTATCTTGTATCATCCGGGTAACGAGCCGGCGTCGAGTACTTAGCGAATGAAAACGAGGCTCACAGGCGGAAACCTCGTTATCCTGATTCGCCGTCGGCCGGGCGCGTGAAGCAGGTGGGAAAAAGAACGCGACGAGTGGTGGACGTCAAAAGCAGGTCCGATGTTAATTTACATCGGGATGCGAAAGAAAACCACTTCGCGCGCTAAAAAACTTTCCATGCGCGCATTAACGCGAACATCACCCTCTTCCTCTCATCGCTGCCGCGTAAAATATCTGTTCCCAACGATTTGAACCGACCGCTCTCCTAGAACCAGTTTCCTTTTAATCATCGCACCCTTTCCTCACCCCATATCTCTTTTCTTTTTCTCCGTGTACTGTTTTCTTGTTTCTTTCTTTCTTTCTCTCTCCCCCCCCCTCTCTCGTTCTTTTTTTTAATCAGCAACGGAGCACTGGCTTCTACCACCAACGAATTTACCGCATTCGCCTCTTTGCTGATTTAGATAAACCTCGAAAAAGGCTGGCCTCGTTTGAAAAGATGCTAACCCAGGCGAGGGATAGTCTTGAAAATATCGCTGCAGCCGCTCTAATGCGTGTGAAATATTGAAGAGTTACGTTTCCAGGGATTAACTGGACTAATTTTCAGTCTGCGGCTCTCTGTTTTGTGAATTAAAACGGAGCCGCGCCGTCGTTGAACACGCTACTCGCCCGACCCGCTCCGGCTTCACGAGAGACGCTGCAAAAACGACTTTGCAATCTGCGACGGTGTCTCTAGTAGAAAGTGCTCGATCGAATAAACTAAGCGTCCGTCAGAAAAATTACTCTCCGTACACGAAAAGATCTTTTATTCGGCGGGAAAAAGGATCGAACAAAAGTGTCTATACGTGATTAATATATTTCGTATTCTGTTTATTTAAGTCATACTGTTTACAGTCTTTTTATAATTTTATACACTTCCCTTCGACATTGTTTGTAGTCATAACTAAAACATGTACTGCAGCGTTTATTTGGCATTGTTTTCATTTTAGCATGAAACAATTCCAAATTCAACTTTATTCATTTAATTACAT